GGCTGCGCCGAAGCCCAGGCTCCTGGCCCCAGGGGAGGTCCCCGTCCCCGCCTTTGCCCAGCTCCTAAAGCGTGCGGCCATGCCTGTGGTCCTCTGTGATGCCAGGCTGGGCCGGGGCCCCAGGTGTCCCCCAGAGCACGTGAGGCCTGGGTCTGGGGGGCGTTCGCGCCATGAGCCCTCTCTGGTTCCGGGAGCTCGGCGGGGCCCTGTGCGGTTTGACTCAGGCGGGGGCGCTGTGCCTGGTGCGTGCCCGGTGTGTGCCCAGCTGGGTCGCTGCTTGCTTCTCCTTGGCTCCAGCCTTCAGCCTCCCCTGCTGCAGCAGGGAAGGGTCTTTCCCAGCCCCCAGACTCCCCCTGGAGCCTGGGGAGAGGCCGGGGCAGCCAGGGGTGGCCCCGCACCCACCTGCCAGCTCACCGCCTGCCTCCTTCCTGGGCAGACCATGCTGAGTGGCGTGGGTCCCCGCACGGCACAGCACAGGGCGTAAAAATGCAAGAGCCGTGCTGGTTTGGCAGGCAATCTTCCTCCTCCCCGCCCTTGAGCGAACTCGCAGGGCGGTGAGCTTGGGACTGGCCCTGTGTTCAGATCCTGGTGTTTTAGTGAGAGCCACAGGCAAATCACGAACGTCTCTGAGCCTCAGTGTTCCTGTCAGTGAAATGGGCACAGGCAGCCTTCCCAGGAAGGGTGATCATGAGGGTAGACCAGGGCTGCAGGTGGCTCAGTGAACAGTAATTGTTAGGATGATTGCCCTGTGTTATTGTAGAAGCAAAAAAACAGAAGAGCCACACAGCCTCTCACGCTCTGTCTGTTTCACATTTTTCTGTCCTCCTACGCCTGTGACTATTTTTCTAATAATTGTGTGCATAATTTTGCATTCCATTCGCACGCACTTGGTGTGACCTTGCTGTTACCCTGTGACCCTGGTCTGAGCAGCAGTGACGTAGCTGTAGCCACTTCCGGGGTATTCAGCCACAGACACCAGCGAGGAGGGGGGATCCCGGCGGGAGGGTTCCTGAGCCGGGGTGGCACCGTCCCGGCGACAGCCTCTCTCCCATGGGGCTGACCAGCGGCCTCTCCACCACGGGGGTCCTTGTTTTATTTATTTTTGTGAAAAAAAATTATTATTTTATCTGGAAATCAGAGTTACAGAGAGAGAAGGAGGCATGGAGAGAGAGGTCTTCTATCCGCTGGTTCACTCCCCAGATGGCCACAACGGCCAGGGCTGGGCCAGGCCAGACAGGAGCCGGGAGCTCCATCCAGGTCTCCCACGTGGGTGCAGGGGCCCAAGGACTTGGGCCGTCTTCTGCTGCTCTCCCAGGCCACAGCAGAGAGCTGGATGGGAAGAGGAGCAGCCGGGACTAGAACTGGCGCCCATGGGGGATGCTGCACCACAGGCTCTGGCTTTCCCACGGCGCCGGCCCCGGGGTCCCGGGTCTCACTCGCCTGCGTCTCTGGGCCCAGTGGCGAGAGCGGCCGCCTCTCCCACCTCTGTTCATTATCCCGCATCTTCGTTTGCGAGCTGCCCATGTATTTCACTGTGCCCCCGAGACAGCTGATAATTGAAACCATTTCCATAAACCAACGTTTATTTTCCAAATTTCCGTTCCTTGGCGTCGGTCTTGCCTGGCGCTGTTTACTTAATCCATTTTTAATTGACTCTAAATCAAGGCGCTGTTTTTAGAGGACTCAGCCTCGCTCTCAGCACTGTCGCCTCCGGCTCAGGGCTTGCACGTTTCCCGAGGCGCACGGCAGCCGCCCCATTACCTCTCCCCGTTTCTGGGGGACCCGGCATCGCCACAGCCCCAGGAACTAGCGGAGCCCCTTGTGATGTGTCAACCTGGATCAGCTTATGGTTAAACAGGCCACCTGCAACCCGAGGGCGACGCAAACTGAACCCTCCTCACTAAATTATACCACCACGTGGACTGCTCCCGTGGCCTTGACGTGGGCCGCGTCTGTGGCGTCTGCGTGGGGTGTTGGGGCCACGGTGGCTGCTGTGCCTACCTCCTACCCCTGCACTCGGCCGGGTTTACCTGGTGGGAGTCGGCCATGCGTGCTGCCAGTGGTAGTGGCCAGCGGGTTCTGGAAGGTTCCATGCATTGGCCTTTTTCCGACTCCTGGCCCTTCTGGGGACAGAGAGCAGGGAGGTGAGAAGGCAGGAGGACGCCTCCCGTGCCTGGGTCCTGGCTGCCCCTTCCTGCGCTGCTGTCTGACGGCCAGGTGTGAGTTCTCTCGTGGGTTTAAGGTCGCCATCGCGGTTGCACCCCAGTTGAGAGCAGCAAAGACATCGGCATGGGCTCCTGGCCGCCGCCGGCCTTGCTGGAAAGATGGGCGCCCTCAGCCTCTGGGCCCCCGTACCTTCCGGAAGGTTCCCTCTGAAGATGCCCGTCTGGGGTGAATCGGACTGGGCGTGTCCGTCCCCCATCTCTGACGGGGCCTTCAGGACTGGACACAGGCGGGGTCTGCGTCTGGATCCCCGCATTTGTCTGTGAGGGTGGGGGCAGAGCTCCCTGGGGGACAGCGAGGCGGCGCTGGGCCCTGCAGCAGGTGCAGTGCGGGAGCCTCCTCCCACAAGGGGCGGAGCCTGCTCGTTGGGACTCTTCCTTGAAGCGCCCTGAGGGGCTCCGTGCCCACTGGCGCCCGTGTCTGTGTCCCTCGCCCTGATCCTCCCGCCCTAACTGTGGAAGGACTCGCTTCTGAGATTAGCTGGGGGGGCAGCAAGTGCCCCCACGGGGGTGCCCCAGCTCCGTCAGAGGGCGGGGGCCGAGGCGTGCCTGTGGCTAGGAGGCGTCCACTCCTGTGCCCACCCCCCAGCCGCTCTTCTTGCTGTTTCCATGGTGCCCAGAGGGTGCCAGGCGGGGACCCAGGACTGGCCGTGTGGGGCCCTGTGTCGGGGAGCGGTGGCGGGGGGTCGCTGGGCCCTGCTGCTGGGGAGGCTGCCCTGGGGCCTTGCCCTGTGCAGCGAGGGTCGGGTTGGGGCTGGGAGTGGCCGCAGGAGTGATGTGGGACGGACAGTGGGACTGGACGTGGGGTGGGGGCAGGGGCAGTACCGGGGCAGGAGCTGTGGGCTCAGCGTGGTGGGTGTGTGGGGACAGTGGGCGCCAGGAGGCAGTGTCGGGGGCAGGAGTGGCTCCTAGTGGCTGGGTCCCAGGTGAGCAGGAGAGGAAAGCTGCCAGGGACAGGTAGGGGCCAGGGGCAGCGGGGGCCCAGGAGGGACGGTGGACACAGGCCACTGCCTGGGGGAGGTGGGTGCCAGGGGCAGCGGGGACCCAGGAGGGACGGTGGACACAGGCCACTGCCCGGGGGAGGTGGGTGCCGGGGGCAGCGGGGACCCAGGAGGGACGGTGGACACAGGCCACTGCCCGGGGGAGGTGGGTGCCGGGGGCAGTGGGGACCCAGGGGGGATGGTGGACACAGGCCACTGCCCGGGGGAGGTGGTGCTGGGTGGGGTGGGCAGAGCCAGGGGTGTGTAGGGTCTGTGAGGCAGGGTGTGTCACACAAACAGGCACACACACATGCACAGACACATGTACACGCAGGCACACACATACACACATGCACAGACACATGTACACACAGGCACACACATACACATGCATGTATGCACAGAGACACATACAGAGATGTACACACAGGCAGGCACACATGCGTGCACGTGCACATGCACATACACAAGTGTGCACACATACAGGCACGCAGAGATGCACACACCCATTTACACATATGTACACCCCCACATGCACACACCATGTGCACATACACACAGGCACACACACTGATGCAAACACACATGCGCACGCACAGGCACACACCCATGTGCACATACACACACCTGCATGCACACAGGCACACACACCAATGTACACAGGCATACACTGGTACACACAGGGCACACACACCGATACACACAGACACACACACCGATGCACACAGGCACACATACCGATGCACACAGGCACACACTGATACAGGCACACACCGACACACACAGGCACACACTGATACAGGCACACACTGACGCACACAGGCACACACACCGATGCACACAGGCACACACCCAATTGCACATACACGTGCACGCACAAGGCATGCAGACACGCAGATGCACACACACAGGCATGCACAGACACATGCGTGCACACACAGATGCCCACATACGCATGCACACGGACACACATGCACACAGACCCGAATGCACACACACAGATGCTCACACACGTGCACACTCACGGGCACATACACCTGCACATCCCCACATACACACAAGTGCACACACACGCACACACCCACACGTGTTGGATCTGACCCTGGGTCAGGGCCCGGGTGGCAGGAAGGGCCGGGGAATGGGCCGGGGCGGCCAGAACAGTGGGGCCAGGGGAGCTCCAGACGGGAGGGGCAGAAAGAGGAGCGGATCCTGGGGCCAGGGGGTGGTGATGGGGACAGGCAGGGTGCAGTCACCCACGGAGGGGAAGGGGGCAGGACACCCACGGGGGAGGGGACACCCACAGTCACCCACGGGGGGGTAGGACCTGCAGTCACCCACAGGGGGGGCAGGACACCCACAGTCACCCACGGGGGGAGGGGACAACCACAGTCACCCACGGGGGAGGGGACAGGACACCCACAGTCACCCATGGGGGAGGGGACACCCACAGTCACCCACGGGGGGAGGGGACACCCACAGTCACCCACGGGGGAGGGGACAGGACACCCACAGTCACCCACAGGGGGGCAGGACACCCGCAGTCACCCACGGGGGAGGGGGCAGGACACCTGCGGTCACCCACAGGGAGGGGGCAGGGCCCAAGGCTGCGGCCGCCGTGTTCCTCTGCAAACCTCCTTGACCTTCTGTGTGCCCGATGGAGGCGCCAGTGGGACCAGAATGGATGCAGGAGCCACTTTTAAAAATTCATGGCGAGGCCGGGCGAGGGTATTTCTGGCACTCGGGCAGGGCCGGGTGGGGGGGGGCGCAAACAGAGGCCGCAGACGCAGATGGGGGCGACTCGGGGCGCTTTGTGGCATTTAATGGAGAACATGGGTCTCAGTCCACGCTGCGGCATCAAATATTTAGCACCGTGGCATTAAAAATTAACCTTCAGGAGGTGGATGTTCGGAGGCGGGCCTTCCTGGAAGGCTGCAGGACAGAGGGGTGGGAGGGAGGGGCTCCCGGCAGCCCCAGGGCAAGGCAGGCACTCCCAGAGCGGAGCAGCCTCCAGACCCCCACGGGCGGGGTCGGGCCCGGCCTCGACCAGGCTCTGCTGGGGCTCCCGGCAGCAGGACGGGCCCTTGGCTGGCACTCGGGCCCTCGCGGCCTCACCCCCGCCCCTCTGGGCAGCTGACCGCTGTGGCGAGAGGGACTGGGGCTTCCAGGGTTGCAGGAGCCCAGATGAAGTAGGGGCACTGTAGGCATCGGGGCCGGCATGTGCAAAGGCACTGGGGCACAGCGCGTGTGTGCATTTACGCACCAGGAGGAGGGTCTGGGTGGCACGTGTGTGGGAGGGAAGGGAGGCAGGGGGGAAGGGTAGGTCTCACTGAGCAGGGCCATGGTGAGGAGTGGGCTTCACCCAGGGACGGGGAGCCCCAGAGAGGCCTGGCTCCGGGTCCCTGTTCTAACAATGTCCTGCTCAGTGCTGGCTGAGTGGGGAAGGGAGCCAGGAGCCCACCCAGCAGACCCCATCTGCCTTCGAGGAGGGGCTGGAGCCCGTGGGGCTGGCTGAGGGATGGGGTGGGAGGCACCTGGGGGGATCCAAGGAAGGTTCTGGGGCACTGGGCGGGGCAGCCGGGAAGACGCTGGTGCAGTTTGCCCAGCCGGGTGCCCTGGGGCCAGCGTGGCTTTGGGGATCAGCAGTGTGGGTTGTCCGAGGGTGGGGGAGGCCTGAGGGAGGAGCTGGGGGCAGGGGAGCAGCAGCGAGGGGGCGTGGGGAGCCGGCCGCCCTGCCCTCTGCCTCACGCGCTCTGTGTCCTCATGTCCTCTGGCTCCGTCCTGTGCGTCAGAAGCAGCCGGGTGTAGCTGGCCCTGCACAGCCCACGTCCCCTCCCCCACCTCTGGCCTCTCACGTCTGCAGGGACACCGGACGGCTCGCTTGCCGCGGGAACAGAGCGAGGTCAGTTCTGGGAGACGATGCCTCCCAGAGCAGGGGCTGGGTTTGGCGGCTGTGGGGGGGAGGGGCAGTCAGGGAGTGCGCCGTGACCCCCGGCAGGTGCCCCCAGCCTCACAGCCAGGGCCGGGCAGTGCCGGGAGCCCTTCATGGCTCAGCCACCCTCCACGCAGCCCAGTGACCCTGCCAGGAGTGTGCCACAGGCACAACCAAACCCCAGGGAGTCTGCCACCACAGCTGACCGTTAGCTGTAGCCGTGGCCTCTGTGCCCCAGGCACCTGCAGCCACACCGGGTCCTGTCACCTGCACAAGCCCAGTCCACCGGGGCTCCCGGAGAAAGGGGACGGCCAGCTGGGGGGGTGGACCGAGTGTCCTGCAGGCGGGCGGCCCCCACGGGAGCTGCACCCTGGCCAGCTCCTCTCACGCAAAGCAGAAGACAAGGCCGTGGAGCCGCCATCCCCGCCGGCCTGGGCTGGAGCCGACCTCAGCGGGCGAGGACCCAGTGGCGCCCTCTGCACCTGCCACCCTGGGTGGACAGTGGGCGCCGGTCCCCTGGGCTGTGCAGGCCGAGGCCGGAGCCCCATTCCCCGAGGGCGCAGGGGAGGGTGACCTTGCCGGGTGGCCCCCCCAGCCATCCTGCTCCCTGGGTCTCCCAGGATGTTCCGAAATGGAGCAGCCACTTCCCCCATCCCGGGAGTGCGTGGCTCAGGGTCTCGCACAGGGCTCCAGCCTGGTGTCGGCCGGGGCTGCCTCACGGCGCAGCAGGGGACGGTCTATGTCCCCGCTCACGCTCGTGGCTGCCGGTGGCCTCCGCCCTCGCAGACGGGAAAGCTGAGGGCGGAGCAGGAACATGGCCCACCCAGCTGGGTCCAGGGCAGGTGTCCTGGCGGAGCCCCGTCAGGGACTGTGGCTCACCGGGGAGGCCTCTGACTCCAGCCCAAGGTGCCCCGACCCTGGCCAAGGAGCAGGAAGCCGGGCCGGGCTCCAGGCACCCTGCCTGCCCGCTTCCATGGGGGACGTCCCACGTGAGTGACGTCAGTCCTGGTGGCTCCTCCCCGAGGGACAGGTCAGTGAGGGGTAGGAAGGTGCGTCCAGCCAGCAGCGTGTGCAGATCCCCCCCCGCCCCGCTCCCTGTGCTATTCATAGCTCCGTGCTGGACGCGGAAGAGCCGGGCTCTGTGGCCCTGAGCCTCGCTTTACCCAACTGTAAAATGGAATCGTCAACTCTGCTTTCCTCCCAGGGAGGTTACAGAATGGAGCGAGTCAGGGGTCTGCCCGGGCTCTGACACCCTGGGCAGGAAGCGGGAGACCCTGGTCCCTCCTGGCCTGGCCTGGCGCCCAGTGACAGCGTCAGAGCCCTCTGGCGCTGGCCTTGGGAGCCCCAAGCCAGCCTGACTCGCACGAGAAAGGGAGGGAAGGATTCTTTTCTCAGCTCCACTCCCGAGACTGGGGTCAGGCCCCCCTGCATCGGCCGCCACCAGCTTCCAGAGGACCAGGCTTCCGAGTGCAGGGCCATGGCCAGCTGTGGTCACACACCCAGCCCCGGGCTTCCGTGATCGGGGGCTGACCCCGGGCTGGCCTTGGAGTCAGGCCGAGAGGTTCCAGACGCAGTTCAGGGAGGGGAGCGGACGTGGGGAAGGGCGTCTGTCGGCCGGCACCCTCTGGACCCTGGGCCCTCCATCGGCCCTCGTGGCGCTCCGGTGAGCTGGTGGTGTCGGCAGGTTTTGTTACCGGCAGAGCTGTGCAGACGCGTGTACTTTCGAGGGGCGGGGCTGTCCCAAGCAGCGCCTTGTGTGGTCCCTGCAGAAAGTGTCCATGGCGCAGTGCCACGCGCTGTCCCCCGTGCCCAGCCGAGCGGGAGGGGGAAGCGGCTGGCTGGGTGCATCCATCCTGTGGCACAGACGGCCCCGAGGCCCGGGGTGACGTCCCCCCAGCGGCTGTCACCGGTGAACCAGCCTCGGTGGCTGGGAGTCTGCTCTGGGGCTCAGGGGTGCCTGACAGCGTGTGTGGGCAGTGCGGGCTGCTTCCGGGAGCTGCTGGGGGTGAAGTAGTGCCCTCGCCCAGCTCCTGGAGAGGCCTCCTGCCGTCCTGGGCCTGGGCCCCTTCCTGCACTGGCCTCGGTCCTGGCGTCCCCTGCACACCTCCCTCTCTCACCTCCTCTTCCGGGTACCCCCGGGATTGCATGGGGCCCAGCGACCAGGCCAGGGTCGCCTCCCCTGGCAGCCTCCTCCCCTTGTCACACAGCAGGTCCCTTTTACCTCTGGGGGGCGAGACGTCTTTGGGGGCCGTTGTACCTGCACAGGTGTACACCTGGGGGACAGGACACGCACGAGAGTCAGTGCGTGGAAGACGTGTATTGTGGAGAAGCTCTGCACGGATCCCCCCCCCCCCCGCCCCGTTCCCCCAGGTAAAATGCATCTTTCAATTCCGCCTTGCTAGGAACGTTCTAGAAGCCTTTTGTTGCGCGTTAGGACCGGCGCCAGCCGCCTTGGGAGAGCGCCCGAGCCGTCTTCCAGGGCCTGCAGGGTCAGTCTCCAGTCTCGGAAGTGCTCGGGAGACACCGGCCGCAGCTTAGCTCCAGAACTGCCGGGACGTCACCGTTAGGCAGCCGTAGCCGGGAAGCCACAGCGTGGGGACCCAAGGCGCCGAGGGCCGTGGCCGCGGGTCCGGGACTTCCGGGTTGGGGGGCCTTGCCTGGGTGACAGGTGAGTTCCGCTGCTCCGCCTCCTCGCCCGGCCTGTGCCCCGCCCAGCCGCGCTGGACGTGTGCGGTGGGGGGGGGGGGGCGCTGCCGCTCCTCGCTCCTCCCGTGAGCAGCCTTGGGGTCTCCACAGGAGCTCACCCGGCTCCCGCCCCCCGGCCTGGGTGGCCCTGGGGGTTCAGCGGGAAGCCCGCGCCGCCCCACACCCACCCTGGCCGCCGCGGGCTGCTTCGCGGCTCACCTGGCACTTACTCCCGTTGGGCCGCCGCCGCCTCTGCCGGCCCCCGCACCGCCAGCCTTTCTGTTGCCAGGCTGACAGTTCTGGAAGCTTCATTATGCAAATTGCCAGGTGCTCCCTTATCTTCCCTGTTAGGGTGCAGACGCGGCCCGCTGTGCCAGCTGCAGATGGGGGGTGCACTGCCCGGCCCACACGACGGTGGCCGTGTGGCACCAGCTGCAGATGGGGGCTGCACTGCCCGGCCCACACGACGGCGGCCGCGTGGTCCAGTGGGCAGCAGCAGCATCGGCGGCTGCCCGGGCCTTGGTTTCCTCACCATAGATCAAGGACAGGTTCTGGGAACCAGGCCCGGAAGAATCAGCACACACCACGGGCCCCCTCCTCCCCGCCGCTCCCCAGCCCCGCGTGCTCGCCTGGCCCCCACCCAGCCAGGAGCCGCTGGTGCAGACCGCCGTGGCCCCCTGGGGGCTCAGCCTGGGCGTCCCCTCCTCCTGGTGGCGTCCCCAGGCCAGGCCCCCCAACACTCAGCGCTGAGGCAGCCGGCTCCCTGCACCTGTGGACCCACTGCGTGGCGGGGCGTGGCCACCACAGAAGCAGACAGGAGGTGACGTTCACTAGTGGTCCCTTCTGGAAGGCAGCTCAATGCCAAAGCGGCCCCGAGGCGCCGAGAACCTACGAGCAGGGTGCACTGTGGTCAGGGGGTGTCCATGGCAGTGAGGTTGACCCGCAGCCCACGCGTGGTGCCTTTGGGGAGAGTCCAAAGCCCAGAGAAGCTGAGTGACCAGGCCGGGGCCGCACAGTGCGTGAGCAGCAGGGGCAGGACCTGAACCCCAGCCTGTGTACGGAGTGCCAGGCCCAGGATTGTCGGGGAAAACAGGGCGGCCTGTGTGGCTGCAGGAGCCCCGTGGAGGCCACGAGGCACCGAGGGCAGGAAGGGCCTGGGGCTGGGCAGCCATCGGGGCTGGACTGTGCCGAGCACCGAGCACTCCGGCTTCTGTGCTGAACACGCCCGGGGAGGTGGGAGCAGGGACACCTGTTAGAAGCACTGAGCGGGGCAGGCGGCGGGTGCGATTTGGGGTCTGTGTTCAAAATAGAGCCAGCGAGAGAGGCTGACGGGTGGCCCTGGGCGTGAAAGGCAGGCAGGCAGGCGGCAGGGCAGGCTCGGGGCTTCCAGCAGGACAGCCAGGAGGGAGGGGCAGGTCCAGACGGAAGCTCGGAGTCGGCCCTGGATGCGTTCAGTAGCCAAGGTGGGGGAGGGGCCCCTGGGAGGCAGGTGTGAATCCAAGACAACTTCCAGGAAGGTAAGTGGCAGTAAAGCCACAAAGCCCGGCAGCGGCACCCTGGGAAGGAGAGCGGGGGGGCGGAGCATCAGGACAGGGTTCTAGGGCAGCCACGGACTGGGTCACGGACAGCGGGGGCCCCTCCGCTCCCTGCACCGCTCCCGAGCCGCAGCCTGAGCCGTGATGGAAGAGCCGGTGCACCTGTCGCCCCGGGAGGCGCGTCTCCAGGCTGATGGCCGGGTGCTGCAACGTGGGGTTGCCCAGACATCAGGCTCCAGGCCCCCTGCCCGCCGTGAAGCCGAAGCCGCACCTGCCAGGTGCCTCACCCTCGGTCTCTGCCACCGCGATGCAGGCCGGGCGGGCGCGGGAACCTGGCGGTTTCCCACGACAGCTTCCGTTCGCATCGTGCTTGTCTCGGGTTTTGGAGTGGCTGCCTCACGGCGTCTGCCTCTCTGCCTGCCCCCCACTCAGACTTCTCCCTTCCTGGATCCGTGGGGTGACCCCCTGTGCTCTTGGAATTCACCCGTTTCGCGGAGGCTTTGTGATGGCGTCGGGTGCAGCCACGCGGGGCTCCTCGGTTCCTTTGCTTGGTCGGCGCTTCTGCGTCAGGATTCTCCCGAGCCGAGCGTGCTGTCGGCCCACAGGAAGGCCAGGGCGAGCCTGGGGTAGGGGCAGACAGCGTGGCCTGAGGGAGGCGAGGGACCAGCCCTGGGTTGATCGGGGATGAGAGATTGGCAAGGCTGGAGATGGCGTCTCTGGGTGCTTTAGGGAGGCTGAACCAGAGGACCTGTGCACCAAGGGCCGCAGGGGCCGAGTTCCAGGGCAGAGGAAGGTTGGGATTTTCGTTTGGGGCAGGTGCAGTTTGGCGCCGCTGTTAGGTGACGTCAAGCGTGCGTGCTTTGACTGACAGCGTGGGTGTGGGTGTGAGTTTGAGGCTGGGGTGATGTTGACATCCCTGGGAGGAGATGACAGCTTGGGGGTGCATGGAGAGGAGAAGGCGAGGGCCGGACTGGCCAGCGGTGGGCAGTGACCGCTGGGGGCCTCAGGGGCAGGAGGCAGGATCGCTGGGACCACGGCCGCTGAGGGACGAGTCGGGGGGCCGAGCGCTGGCCCCCAAATTTCGCAGCATGGAGGTCTCGGCTGACGTCTGCAAATCCCTGTGGGAGCCGTGAGGGAGGCGGAGGCCACCCACCCCCTCCGTGTCTTGCGTGTTCAGTGCCTTCCGTGCCTCCCTGCTCTTCAGTAAAACCTGCGGTTGGATTTACTTGTTGGCTCCTCCTCTTGAACTCCATCGCGGTTGTCCCTTTCTTTCTTTCTTTCTTTCTTTTTTTTTTTTTTTTGGCAGAGTGGACAGAGAGAAAGGTCTTCCTTTGCCGTTGGTTCACCCTCCAATGGCCGCCGCAACCAGCACACTGTGGCTGGCGCACCGCGCTGATCCGATGGCAGGAGCCAGGTGCTTCTCCTGGTCTCCCTGGTCTCCCATAGGGTGCAGGGCCCAAGCACCTGGGCCATCCTCCGCTGCACTTCCTGGCCACAGCAGAGAGCTGGCCTGGAAGAGGAGCAACCGGGACAGAATCTGGTGCCCCAACTGGGACTAGAACCCGGTGTGCCGGCGCCGCAAGGCGGAGGATTAGCCTAGTGAGCCGCGGCGCCGGCCGGTTGTCCTTTTCCTGTCCTCAGTCTTCCCTGGGCTGTTTTTCTCCAGCGTTTTTAGTTCAGTGATTAATGCTTCCCTGTTTATTGATAACAGCGACGGTTGCGGCTCTGACTTTTCCTCCGAGCAACGCTTTGGTTCCAAGTCACGGTTCTTAAACGTCAGAGTCTCTCCTCTTGCTGTTGCCTAAATATTCTGCAATTTTTATTTTTTACCATTTTTGACTCACAGGTTAAAGAGTTGATACATTTCTTGGGGGTAGAGTGGCTTTATTAACGTTATCGAATTCTAGTATATTATGCAAGAACATCCGATTAATACTTTCTGGAATTTAATTTCTTTGTGGCCTGATAGTCATTGTGTGTGCGTGCGTTTTCAAGAGCGCTGGGACGGAAGGAGGTGGCTCATGTTCAGTGCACACACACACTTCGTCACTTGTTAGGTTGTGTGGTTTCCTATGTCCTGGTCGTTTTTGCTAACTTCTCCTGTCACAGGGGAGCTGGACTGAAACGCACCAACGTCGGCATTCGCCGCCGCTTCCTTCCCAAGTTCCCAGCAGCCATTGCTGGCGGACCACCGAGGCTGTGCTGTTTGCCGCCTTAGCATTTGCTACTGTGAAAGCCTCATGGTGACTCGCGCCCGTGTCACAGGGTCCTTGGATTTCTCCTTCAACTGTGTCATCTCGATCCAACTTCAGCCTTTTTTAAACACAAGGTGTATTTATTTAAAAGGCAGAGTGGGGGCCAGCGCTGTGGCGTAGCGGGTAAAGCCACAGCCTGAAGCGCCGGCATCCCATATGGGCGCTGGTTCGTGACCCGGCTGCTCCTTTTCCCATCCAGCTTTCTGCTGTGGCCTGGGAAAGCAGAAGATGGCCCAAGTCTTTGGGCCCCTGCACCTGTGTGGGAGACCCAGAAGGAGCTCCTGGCTTCGGATCGGCACTGTTCCAGCCAACTGGGGAGTGAACCAGTGGATGGAAGATACACGCACACACACACACACACACACACATATCTCTCTCTCCCCCTCCCTCCCTTCCTCTCTCTCTCTCTCTCTGCCTCTCTTCTCTCTGTGTAACTCTTTCTAATAAATAAATAAATATTTTTTAAAAATTAAAATTCAAAAGCAGAGTTAGAGAGAGAGGGAGACAGGTCTTCCATCTGCCGCTTCACTCCCCATGTGGCCACAGTAGTCACAGCTGGGCCACGCTGAAGCCAGGGCTTCTTCCAGGTCTCCCACGTGGGTGCAGGGGCCCAAGCACCTCGGCCGTCTTCTGCTGCTTTCCCAGCCCATCAGCAGGGAGCTGGGCTGCAAGTGGAGCAGCCGGGACTCAAACCTGTGCCCCTGTGGGATGCCAGCAATGCAGATGGCGGCTTAACCTGCTGCACAACACCGGCCCGCGCATCTCCTCGCTGGATCCCGGCCCCTGGTTTCTCTTGCTTTGAACTTGTTTCTGCCCGTACTTCTGAAAGATTTTGGTGAGACGCACACAGCATAACACTGACCACGGGTCTGCGTGTTGAAGGCACTCCCGCTGCCACACAGCCCTCCGCACCGTCGTCTCCAGGCCGTCAGTGGCCCTGCGCGCCCTCCCTCCAGTGCCTCTGTGTCCAGCGGGAGTGTTTCCATTCCGTGGCCAGCGTGGCAGGTGCGCTTGCCAGCTTCTGCCATCGTCGCGTCCGCTGGGCTCCCAGCTTTATAGCTTTCGTGGGGGCTGTGGGCTTCCGCAGTGTGGTCTCTGTGTTTCTGTCTGATTTCTAGGATGTGTCCTGTGATCAGTTGGAGACCATGCTGTTGACCCTGAGGTTTCTCATCCTGGTTACAAAGTTACAATGGGACAGGATACCTTCCTTCCCATAGAACACGCCATCTGCCCCTACTGAACGTCAAACTAGAGCCCTCGTCTTCCATTTCAACTGGTCTTCTGTTGACCCTTGCACTGCTGACTTTAAACATCTGAGCAGTTTTTTTGTTTTGTTTTGTTTTGTTTTGTTTTGGACAGGCAGAGTGGACAGTGAGAGAGAGACAGAGAGAAAGGTCTTCCTTTGCCGTTGGTTCACCCTCCAATGGCCGCCACGACCGGCACACCACACTGATCCGAAGGCAGGAGCCAGGTGCTTCTCCTGGTCTCCCATGGGGTGCAGGGCCCAAGCACTTGGGCCATCCTCCACTGCACTCCCGGGCCACAGCAGAGAGCTGGCCTGGAAGAGGGGCAACCGGGACAGAATCCGGCGCCCCAACTGGGACTAGAACCCGGTGTGCCGGCGCCGCAAGGCGGAGGATTAGCCTAGTGAGCCACGGTGCCGGCCCTGAGCAGTTCTTTAGCACCCAACTGTGCAAGATGAGGGTGCGGGGTACCTGTGTCACCCGCCCCTGCACCCCTGCACCTGTCCGTTACCCGCTTCTCCCCTGCAGCAGTCATTATCCGTAGCCATGTCTTAGACCCAGCCTCACCGGTAGAGGGGCTCCTGCTGGCGGCCATGGCGCTGGCCATGGCTCTCCTAAGACGGGCGCAGAGGTCCACACATGCACCCGACGAGTCTTCCTGCTGGCTTTGTGCTAAACAGCTGGCTCGCTTCATTCACCCACTCATTCAGCACCTGCCGTGTGCAGGTTCCCGTCCTGGGACCCAGCAGTGAGCAGCACACACAACCCCCTGGGGGCCGTCCAGGGCCGGCTTTCCAGGGAGGACACAGGTGGACAATGGAGGCCGGCGCGCGGCTCACTGGGAGTGGTGGTGATGGTGGTAGGTGGCAGCTGTGGCTGCAGGCACAGGAGAGGGACCGAGGAGTCGCCCCCGTTGGTGCCGGCTGAGGTCCCGCCCTCCAAGGTGGTGCTCACCTTACAGAGGTCGGCTCTGAGGACCTTGTCGTGTCTAAACCCCGGCCGCCTGCCTGCCCATGGCTCCTCTGCCCCCGGCTTCGTGTCCCCTCACCAGTGGACATCCACTTCCTCGGTGCTGGTGACAGGGCCACAGCGCCTGTGATGGGGTCAGGGTGGGCTTCGTGTCAGCGCCCTGAGCGCCCTGGGGCACCCGTGACCGGGCCATGCTGCTCTCTCCCCGGGCCCAGCCCCATCCCGGCCCCCTGCAGGGGGCCCGAATCCGTTTGGAAATTCTCTAGTTCGTTGTGGCAAGAGCGACCCCGTGATCTGCTGAGTCGGATACTTTTCAGGCTGAACGGGGCGGTGGTGGGCACTGTACCAGGAGGCCGCTCGGGGCGGAGACAGCGCCGGGTCCCCTGGGAGTGGCGCTCGTGGCTCCCGTCCCTGGCTTTCTCCTGTCCTGGTGTGTGACGGGGGGCGCTGGCCTCCCCAGCACCAAGGCCGGGCTCCGGCTGCCCTCCGCCGGCAGACCCCCTAACGCTGTGTCTCCCTCCGCGGACAGACCCCCTAACGCTGTGTCTCCCTCCGCCGGCAGACCCCCTAACGCTGTGTCTCCCTCCGCCGGCAGACCCCCTAACGCTGTGTCTCCCTCCGCGGACAGACCCCCTAACGCTGTGTCTCCCTCTGCTTCTCCCAGAAAGCCCTTTTGCCTCAGGATGGGGGCGGCGAGACCCGGAGCAGCCGGCGCAGCCTCCGAGAAGAGCGGCTTCTGCAGAGACGCCGGGGAGCGCCGTGGCGGTGGCAGCGGACGGCGGGTGCCTGGCGCCCCAGACTCCCCCCCACGGACTCCTGAGCCCGGAGCACGGGCAGGAGGCGGAGCCCCCCGGCCACAAGCAATAGTCTGTCCTCTCCTGGGCTGGGGGCTCGCTGCCACCCTGGAACCCGCTGCCTGCACGCGTGGCCCGCGGGCGTGCGCACCTGTGACTCCCGGTGTGCGTTCTGTGCGCTCGGTCCCTTGGGTGGGTTTAGCGGAGCTCCGTCCGTCAGGTCCCCTGGGGGGGCACAGGTCACCGTGCGGCTGGCAGCTGCGGCCGGGGTCTGAGGCTCACGCTGCTGCTTGCGACGGTCGCTGACGGGGCTGGCTGAGCGAGGGTGCAGGCTGGCCGCGCCACGGGGGCCTGGGGAGGAGAAGGCAGTCAGGGTGTCCCTGTGGCATTTGTCCCTGTGATGACAGGGGCTCCCAGGGACGGGGAGGAGCCCCAGGCCGGCGCCCCACGCTCTGTCACACCATCTGGGCAGGGCAGCTCCTGGAGGAGTGACAGAGCAGAGGAGGGGTGCCCAGGCTCTTACAGCCACGAGGCGGCCAACCCCTTGGTCTGACCGCGGCAGGGACGGGACGTGCCCCCCAGCCCAGGGCCCCCAGCTCCGTCCCCGGAGCCTCTCTCCGATGCCTTCCCGCGGGGGCCGCCCCCGAGCTGTCACTGCCCGGAGCCCATGTCCACTCGCGCCTGCTGCGTGGCGCGGGGCCCATGCTGGCCAGGGGCCCAGGTGAAGGACAGGACAGGCCTGTCTCTGGGGAGCTCCCCGCCTGGCGTGAGACACACACGGGCATCTCTGCAGACGAGGCAGCGAGGGTGCTGGAAACCCTGAGCAGAAGGTTCTAGAAATCCATCCCCTTTAAGGCGGGATTCCACAGGGCCCGCTGCCCACCTGCTGCCCCGGGGCACACACGCAGCAGGACATCCCCAGGAAGTGACCTCATCGGGTCCCCGTGCTGCCAGTGTAGACACACTCCTGCCACCAGTGTTAGCGACACCCGGTGCCCGGCTCAATAAACACGTATCCACTCCAGCCCGCGTCTGCGTCTCAGTCCCAGCGTCCCGGCACGCACCAGCCTTGTCCGGGGGGAGGGGGAGGGGCAGGGGAGGGAGGGGGAGGGGCAGAGTGCCTCTGTGCGGTGCACTCTGTGGGTTCTGTCTGAGCAGGCGATGCCGCAGCCCAGAGATGATGGACAAGCAAGAGCCAGCCACAGGCCTGGCAGGGAACCGCTGCCAGAGACGCCGGGCGGCTGGGCCCGGCGCGAGGATTGAAGGAAGAGGAGGCGCGGAACTTTCTGGAATGTGTTTTGCGCACCATCTGGCTCCTCGTTCTCTCGACAGCCCCACCCAGAACGGGACCCTCTCCGGTTCACGGCTGGGACTCGGAGGCTCAGCCGGGTCAGGCCTGCCCTGAGGCAGCCCCAAGTCTGGGGGGGGGGGGGAGGGTCGGGGGGGCTCTGCTCGGGCGGTCTTGGCGAGGGCCACACGGTGACCTTCTGCTCCCGGCACAGGCTCAGGGCCGTGTCCATGCGGACGCACACGCAGCTGCCCATGGAGAGGCGCTGGTGGAGGTCAGAGGTCACCGGCTGACGTGAGGCGTGTTAGGTTGCAGGGGGCGCTGTTCTGGCCCACCAGCGGTGTTTCCAGTGGAAACTCGAAGTCCCCACGGGGGCTGCCGTGCCCAGTGCTCAGCGGGCGGTCGGCCTGGGCACCAGAACATTCTCTGGGGAGCGGGGGCCTCCCCTCCCTCTAGCTCAGCGGAGACCAGGCCCTGAGCAGACCCAGTGGGGCAGCGGGGGCCGCGCCCCCTCCTCCCCGGCTGGGGGACACTGGGGAGTGGTGGACTCTCCTTGAGCCGGGGGGGGGGGGGGGGTTAGGAAGGAGTAGGGGAGGAAGAAGAGGAGGGAGTAGGGGTAGGGAGGGGATTGGAGGGGCGAGCAGGGGAGGGGCAGGGCCCTGGGCAGGGGCCCCACCTCTACCATCTCAGAGCTGAGGGGGCAGGACGCATGCTCAGGGGTGTGGGCCCCATATTCAAAGCAAGTGGGTGCGGTCCTGTCGGTCTCTCAGAGCCAGGGGCCAGCCCCGCCCGCCACCGCCGGGGACCCCCGCCCCTCCTGCTGCACCTGTGCCCGCGGTGTCCCCGAGCGCGAGAGTGGCAGGTCCATGCAGGTGACCCCCAGCGCTGACCTCGCAGGCTGCCTGCTCTCACGGTCTCCGGGGGCTTCTGGCTGGCACCGCGGGATTTGTGACCACAGCGGCAGGAAACAAGAAACAAGGGGCAGCCTGTCCACTCAAACCCCTGTCCCACGGAAGGGTTTGCATTCGGCACGGCATTCGTGGGCCCGGCCGACTCCCCCCAGCAGGTTCAGAGCGGCTCCCTGGAGACCTGTGCCTCTGAGGACCCCACCCCAGGGGGCGGCGCCCTGCCCTGCTGTCCCCTGCCCTGCCCCCACCCACCCCCAGCCCCAGCCCACCAACAGACCAGGCAGGCACGTACCCTTCAAAGCCTCCGTCCTGTATTCTGGGCAAAGCTATTTTCCAGTGCCCCCAGCCTGGAGTTGGGCTCCTGGGGCTGTCTGGCTCTGTCAGTGACCTCTGACCTCCGTGACCCACCACCAGCTTCCGGGCAGGGGAGGGAGTGTCCCTGGGGGCTCTGTTTGCAGCTGGGGACATTTTCTCAGGTCTCTGAGGCTCCTCTGGGAAGCCCTGGGGGAGGGAGGCACGGAGGAGGCAGCACACTGCCGGTCACGCACCCACGCGTGTGCAGGAGGCAGCTCCGCCCCCTCGCCCCCTGCACAGGGGCAGGGGCAGCCGAGCCAGCATCTGAGAGGGGTCAGGGTGAGATCCCACATACGCGCTCACACATGTGCACACACACATGTGCACACGCTTACACATGTGTGCACACGCACGACCACACATCAGCTCTGAGGGGGACCGACTGAGCACACACCATGCAGGGAACCCTGCTGGGATCCTTGTCCTCGCTCCACCCGGGCGGCGTGAGTGACCCCAAAGCAACACATGTGGCCCCCATGGGCAGCTACCATCCCCCAGACGCCATCCTCCCTGCCCCCCACGATATACCCCGGCCTGGCCTCAGCCGTGGTCCCCCTGTGTCACATGTTCCCTGTCGGCGGGTGTCCCCACGGGCCCCTGTGTCACCCTAGGAAAGAAACAACGGGGCCCTGCCCTGGTGACATGGGTCAGGACGTCCGGACCAGCCCCTCCCTCATCGCAGCTAGAAACATTGGACGAAGCGTTTTTATAAATTGCTGGGCGGGTGGGGCAGCACCGCGGCGCGGTGGGTTAAGCAGCTGCCTGCAGTGCCGGCATCCCATACGGGCACCGGTTCACGTCCCGGCTGCTGCACTTCTGATCCAGCTCCCTGCTCGTGCTCCTGGGAGAGCAGTGGAAGACGGCCCAAGTGCTTGGACCCCTGCACCCACGTGGGAGACCCTGAGGAAGCCCCTGGCTCCTGGCTTCAGCCTGGCCCAGCCCTGGCTGTGGGGCCATTTGGGGAGTGGCCTGCAGACGGAAGCTCTCTCGCCAGCGCACTCTCTCCCTGTCTCCTCTCAACTCTGCCTTGGTAAAATCAGCCCTGGTGCATGAGAGCGCTGAGCGGTGGGGGATGACGGGGCCGTGGTCTGGACGGAGAGAGGGTGAAGACGGGCAAGGGGCTGCCTGGGCAGCCACACATACCTGCACACAACAGCAGGGTTCAAAACGGGCTCCACATACGCCAGACGCCGGAGACTGGAAACCCGGGAGAGACAGGGAAGCTTGGGACAGAACCAACCAGTAACGAGAGCAAATGACGATCTTGGTGACTGGGGTAAGAGCAGGCTACAGGCGAGGGCGCGGCGTTGGCAGAGGGTCGGGCAGGTCCAGGGCCGAGAACAGAGGCTGGGCAGCAGATGGGGCCGCGGCGGTCAGAGGGTGGAGGCAGCGCAGGGCGCCGGGGCTCTGAGGCCCACCGGGGTGGGCACAAGGAGGTGTCCACCAGCAGACGAAGCCACTCCAGACCCAGACCTGGCCCCTGTCCCGAGAGCTGGCTCAGAGCAGGCGGTGGACACAGCTGCCAGTTCCCCCCGACTGCAGAGCTGGGGGAGAGGACCCCGGAGAACCGGGGGCTTGGGACGATTTTCAGACACGGTGCCGATGCCGGGGCGGAGAGGGGGTGGCGACTTGCTGAGAGGAGCTAGAATGAGAAACGCTGCCCTCTGGAAGACGCCGCCGAGAGAGGGAACGGCTGAGATGGAGACTGGGAGGGCGTTCCTGCCCCCAGAGCACGCCCCACAGAGGACGGCCATGCAGGCGTCCAGTGCAGCAGCTAAGCCACCACAGGACACCCACCTCTAATCAGAGCGCCTGGGTCCTGGCTCTGGGTTTGATTCCTGCTTCCTGCTGATGGAGCCAGGAGCTGGGTCCCTGCCACCCACGTTCGAGACACGGATGCATTCCTGGCGTCTGATCCACCTGACCCTGCCCCAGCTGCTGTGGGCATTCGGGGAGGAAACCAGTGAATGAGAGTGCAGTGTCTCCGGGCCGGCGCTGTGGCACAGTGGGTAAAGCCGCCGCCTGCAGCACCGCATCCCACATGGGCGCTGGTGTAAGTCCCAGCTGCTCCGCTTCCCATCCAGCTCCCTGCTAAGGCCTGGGAAAGCAGCGGAAGATGGCCCAAGTCCTTGGGCCCCTGCACCCACATGGGAGGCCCAGAAGCAGCTCCTGGCTCCTGGCTTCGGATCGGCGCAGCTCTGGCCGTTGTGGCCAATTGGGGAGTGAACCAGCGGATGGAAGACCTCTCTCTCTGCCTCTCCTTCTCTGTGTGTGTGTAACTCTGAACTTTCAAGTAAAATAAATAAATCTGTAAAAAAAAAAAAGTGCAGTGTCTCTGCCCCCCTCAAATAAATTAAATACATTTTTTTTGACAGGCAGAGTAGACAGTGAGAGAGAGAGAGACAGAGAGAAAGGTCTTCCTTTGCCGTTGGTTCACCCTCCAATGGCCGCTGCGGCTGGTGCGCTGCGGCCGGCGCACCGCGCTGATCCGAAGCCAGGAGCCAGGTGCTTCTCCTGGTCTCCCATGGGGTGCAGGGCCCAAGCACTTGGGCCATCCTCCACTGCACTCCCAGGCCACAGCAGAGAGCTGGCTTTAAGATTTATTTTATTTTACTTGAAAGGCAGATTCACAGAGAAAGAGAAAGAGAGGCAGAGAACGGGAGAGAGAGGTCTTCCATCTGCTGGTTCACTCCCCAGGTGGCTGCAATGGCCATGGCTGAGCCAGACCAAAACCTGGGGCCGGAGCTTCATCCAGGTCCCCCACGTGGGTGCAGGGGCCCAAGCACTCGGGCGTCCTCCACTGCTTTCCCAGGCCACAGCAGGGAGCTGGATGGGAAGTGGAGCAGCCAGACATGGACCAGCGCCCACGTGGGCTGCAGCACCGCCGGCATCGCGGGCGACGGCTTTATTTGCTTTCCAACAACGCCGGCCCCAGCTGCCGTGCTTCTGACCCGGCCCCCTGAGGACGCAGCTGGGAGGCTGCGGGAGCCGGGCCAAGTACTTGGGTCCCTGCCACCCACGTGGGGGCCCGAGTGGGGCTCTGGGCTCGTGGATTTAGCCCAGCCCAGCCTTGGCTGTTGCAGTGCATACTGGGGGGTGAACAAGCAGATGGAAGATCTTCCTCTCTGCGTCTCTCCCCCTCCCCCTGTCACTCTTTCAAATAATTTTTTAAAGTAGAAAACAAGGCAGGAGCAGCTGCTGTCACATTCTTATTCGGAATAGCGCCAGAAGTTCTTGCCAGGGCCAATGAGGCAAAGCAGGGAAACCCAAGATCCACAGAGCAGGAGGGAGAAGTACCCAGTCCCCAGCCACACAGAAAACCCAAACGAGTTTGCAAAAAATCTGCTGGAACAAGTTCACAAAGACACGGGACGCTGACCGTGAAAGCATCGATCTCTACCTAACAGCGACGAACGGCTGAGCGTCAAGTGAGGATGCAGCGTCCAAGCGGAGCAGGAGACACCTCTGGCTCGG